CACATTAGCAGGAGCGGGAGCAGACTGGGGCCGCCTTCCGCGGGGCTCTGGCATTGCAGGCGGCGGCTTCATCTGTGCTACAACCCTGGGCCCAGGATTTTTTTTTAAAGAAGGAAGAGTGAGAGAGAAGTGGGTTCTTATATTGTGGTTTGAGAAACGAGCCTGGCCTGCTTCTTCCAGCTTCAGGTATTTGGGTGAGTTTGTAACATCTTTGGGCCTTGATTACTTTGGCTCCAAAATGGGTAGGCAAGATTGAAAAAAATTCGATTTGTCTGGATGTACTTCATAAGTATCTCTCGATGTTTTTAAAACTAAGCATACTAGATTTATGGGACTTTATCTTTTACAAATGGTAAGATTGTACATCCAAAGAGTTGGAGTTAGTGTTGATAACCCTAAAAATCAGTGATGTTCTTCTCTGTACATGTGAGGTACTTCAGAAAGTTCATGGAAAGAAGTGGCATATTGGGTAAAGCCATTGCGTGTGATGCCAGCATTCAATATAGGTGCCCATTCAAGTCCCAGCTGCTCCACTTCCTATCCAGCTTCCTGCTAATGTGCCTGGGAAAGCAGTAGAAGATGGCCCAAGTGCATGGGCCCCTGCACCCATGTAGGGGACCTGGAAGGAGCTCTGGGCTCCTGGCTCCTGGCTTTGATCTGGCCCAGCTCTGGCTGTTGTGGCCATTTGGGGAGTAAGCCAGTAGATGGAAGGTCCCTCCCTCCTTCCCTCTCTCTCTCTCCCCCTCCCCCTCCCCCCCCCATAATTCTTTCAAAATAATTAAATTAAAAAAACAATAAGCTAGTGACCTAAGTACCTGGGTCCCTGCCACCCATGTGGGAGATCCAAATGGAGTTCTAGGCTCCTGGCTTCGGCCTGGACCAGTGCTGGCCATGGCAGCCATTTGTATAATGAACCAGCAAATGGAAGACCTCTCTATTTCTGTCTCTTCCTCCCTCTCTAACTCTGCCTTTTAAATAAATAAAATAAACTTAATCTTTAAAAAAGGTAGTTTTATTTTGCTGCAAAAATTTTTTGAAATTCATGTATACAAGGTGTCTCCAACAATTTCACAGAAAATATGTATTATGAAATAACTGCATAATTATAGATTTCAAAACTTTTTGCATCAATAAGCTCAGCTTTTAATTCTGTTTTTGCAACAACATTTTGAAGTCCTCTCACATATCCTTCAGGCAGCTCATGGGCACATTAGCTGCAGGCCTGGCCCATGTCTGTGCAAAAAAAAAAAAAAAAAAAAAAAAGGCAGAGGCAAAGAAGGAGACAGGGCAGTGGTAAGTGGGAACAGAGGTGGGAGTGGCACAGCCTTGCCGTGGGGGAAGCCCCACTGAGCTCTGACTTGTGCCTTCTGGAGATTTCCGAGCCCTGGAACTGTGAGCTGGCTTAGTTACTTTGTATTGTTTATTCCATCATGTGTGGTGGTCGGTTACAGCAGGGATAAGATACTGACAGCTTCACTGAGATACAACCTGTGTACAGTGACCACTTAGAGTGTCCTTAGTGTATTCACAGAGTGGTGAGACTACACATTTTTTAAAAAAGATTTTATTTATTTGATAGGGTTACAGAGAGAAGGGGGAAGAATAGATCTTCATCCGCTGGTTCACTCTCCAGATAGCCACAACAGCCAAGGCTGGGCCAGGCTGAAGCCAGGAGCCCAAGCACTTGGGCCGTCTTTCGCTGCTTCCCCAGGTGCATTAGCAAGGAGCTGGATGAGAAGTAGAGCAGCCAGGACTCAAACCAGTGCCCATATGGGATGCAGGCATGCAGAAGGCAGCTTTCCCTGCTATGCCACAATGCTGGCCCCCAAACCACACATTTTTGAAAGATGGGTGAAAACCCGTGTGACACGAGAAACAGGCGGTGTTGTTTGGATCGCGTGTTCACAATGTCCAGGGGGTGTTACTGGTGCCCCAGTGCCGCCACCTCCAAGACTCACAAAGTTTTGCTTTCCTTTTCCATCTTAGCAGGGAAACCTCTTCCTGTGGCCCTTTTTGCTGTGTTTCCAGCAGTGATGTTTGCAGGAACTTACCTTGAACTTGTTCTTCCTTGCTGCTAGCTGTCAGACTTACACTCCTTGGGGCTGTTGTCTGGGCTGGAGTTCAGGATGAATCCCAGGACCGAGTGCCAGGGTTCAAGTCCCAGCCCCATCTTGATTGCAGCTCCCTGGGAGGCTGTGGGGAGGCCTCTTGACACCTGGGTTGAGTTGGCAGCTCCAGCTGGGGCGCATTAGGAGAGTGAACCAGCAGGTGGCGCTCTCTGTCTGTTGCTGTGCCTTTCAAACAAAAAGATAAATGAAAATTGTGAAGATATTCATCCTAAGTTTTTTTTTTTTTAAGATTTATTTTATTTATTTGAAAGGCAGAGTTACAGAGAGAGGTAGAGACAGAGAGAGAGAGGTCCTCCATCCGCTGGTTCACTCCCCAGATGGCCTCAACAGCCAGAGCTGTGCCAATCGGAAGCCAGGAGCTTCCTCCAGGTCTCCCACATGGGTGCAGGGATCCAAGGACTTGGGCCATCTTCTACTGCTTTCCCAGGCCATAGCAGAGAGCTGGATCGGAAGAGGAGCAGCTGGGACATGAACCGGCGCCCATATGGCATGCCAGCGCTTCAGGCCAGGGCTTTAACTCACTGTGACACAGCACTGGCCCCCATCCTAAGTTTCTAATTTGTTTCTGCGATACCCCAGAATACCTTAAATAGTTAATGCAACTTTCCAGGGGACTGGCTAAGAAATGTACTTTATGTTTTATGTTTATATATGGTCGCTAATTTTGCTAGTCTACAGGAAGGAATCTGTTCTACATAAAAATCTGAAAATGTGCACCCCCGGGGGTGATGCTCAGATGGTCAGTACCTGGCACTGGGTTGCCGCGTGTGTTGAGATCTGAGGGCGGCTCCTTTGTACATTTGTCCTTATGGTCCTTGTGTCCTTTGTGTCCTATGGTCCTCCCAGATCAGGGAGCCATTGGGTCCTATGTTAAGGAGATTTAAGTTGTTTAATTTGAAAGAGAGAGAGATTGTTCCCATGAGCTGGTTCATTCCCCAAATGCTCACAGTGACTGGAGCTGGGATCTCAGTGCAGGTCTCCCGTGGTGGTGGGGACCCAAGGACTCGAGCCGCCAGTGTTGCCTCCCAGGGCGTGCATCAGCGGGAAGCTGGAGTTGGGAGTCAAACCAGGCACTCTGGTGTGGAAAGTGGGCATCTTCCTGCCTGTTCCAGACTTTTTTTTTTAAGTTGTATTTTGCCGGTCTTCTTCCAAATGATTTCTATGAGGCAGCATTCCAACCAGTGAGCCCACTTCCCTCAACACTCCTCCCAGATGACCAGCCAGACCCCCAATCCTGTACCAGGTTCTCTCTGGCACCCTCTGCCTGCGGTGCTTCGTGGTCTCCCTGACACGCATCTCTCTCACTGTGACACACCTGCCTTGTCACACTGCTGGCTGTCAACTGATGGACATTGACAGCTTAAAGATACAGGAAGTGATGTAGAAAGTACTAGACTTGCTGGCAAAAAGGTCCTAGAATTTCTTGCAAAGCAAGGCAACCTTGTGTGTTCATATATGCAACCTTATTTAGTCTTTCATGAATTTTAAGCAGCGTTGGTTATAGAACTGGTATGGCTCAGAGCAAATCAAGGTGTGGGGCCCCTGATTCAAACTGTATTAGAGGAGTTTAAAATGGAGAAGTAGCAGCATGAAACGTGGCATGGGTGACTGCGTGGCACACGCTAAAGCCAGCCCTGGTTATAACATGGCATCTTTCACCTGTTCCCGCCCAGGGGACTGACCTAGCACTGTTCCCATGCTAGGTGGCACCCATCCCATAGTGTAAAATCTTTAAATTACAAATTCTCTTAGTTGTGATAAAGTGCAGGAAACAAACTGGTTTATCTTGGCCATTTTTAAGTGTATAGCTGAGTGGTATTGAGCACATTTGCGTTGTTTTGCAATGGTCCTATCCGTCCATTCATCCATCCATATCTCCAGAATGTTTCCATCTTTCCAGATTGAAGCTCTCTCCCCACTAAACAGTTCCCTATTCCACCTGCCCTTGGCCTCTGGCACCCATCATTCTGGTTTCTTTCTCTGTGAACTTGAGTGCTCTAGGTACCCGATGTGGGTGGAGCCACACAGGGTCCTTTGGTGGCTGGTGTATTTCACTAAGCATCGAGCCCTCACGGCTCATGCATGTTGTAGCCTGTGACAGCTTTTCTTCCTCTTTAAAGTCAAAGGATATCCCACTGTGTGTATACCCCACATTTTATTTATCTGTTCATCTATTGGTGGATTTTTTAATTATTGATTTTTGAAAGAGTGAGAGAGAGAAGGAGATATCTTCCATCTGCTAGTTCACTCCCCAAATGGCTGCAATGGCCAGGGCTGGGCCAGGCAGAAGCCAGGAGCCAAGAGCTTCTTCCGGGTTTCCCTTGTGTGTGGCAGGGCCCCAAGCACTGGATCATCCTCCACTGCTTTCCCAGGTACACTAGCAGGGAGCTGGGTTGGAATTGGAGCATCTGGGTCTCAAACTGGCACTTACATGGGACACTGGTGTTGTAGGCAGTGGCTTAACCTGCTGCGCCACAGCACCAGCCCCTGTTGATGGACTCTTAGTTGGCTCTTGGCTGCTATGAATAGAGCTGCTCTGAACGTGGGTGCACAAGCATTTCTTGAAGACTTGACCTGGGTGATATTATAATTCCATTTTTAATTTGAAAAGGTTCTGTTTTTACCGCTCCCTACTGTTTTCCATGGTGGGTGCCCCATGTTAACAATCTAACCAACAATCTTCACCAGCATTGACTGTTTTTTGGTTATTTATTTAAGTATTTATTGGTGGGGGCTGTCGTAATGGGTGCGAGGTGGCATCTTGTTGTGATTGCGGTTTGCATTCCCCGGGTTCGTGCTGCTGAGCCCGGGTTGTTGCTAGGTTTGTGTCTGAGCCCTCACAGTGACAGACCGTTCTCTGTGCCTTTCCAGGAAGGAGATGAAGTCTCTGCAGCAGTCCGGGTCTCTGAAGGGCTCCCTGAGCGCTGAAGAACAGCTGTCACTCATCAGCAGCTGCACCAACCTCGCGGAGGCAGTAGAGGGCGTTGTGCACATTCAGGTGAGTGGGCGGCTCGGGGAGGCAGGCGGCAGGTGAAAGGCGGGGTGGAGACACGGTCCTCTGGAGCAGCACCAACACGGGCTCTCCTTAAGCCACTGCAACACTGTCATCTTTCAGAGATGTCACAATGTTGAGCAAAAGTAGATTTTCTGGACTGCTAAGATGTTCATTTCATCTTATCGTATTAAATGAGAGGTTGTAGTCTTGTCCACATGTATGATTGAGTACAAACTTAAAGAAATCATCAACAAGAAATCAGCTTTCGCTCACACTGAGCTTTTTCAATCACGACGTCAGGAGTCCTTGCAGGCACAGATTCCATGGCCTGGAGGGCGTGGAAGGATGAATCAGCCGCTGTGGGCTGGGCCAGGCTGGGCTGGGACTGTATCCTGGTACCCTTTCCAGGTGGATGTGGGTCCCGTAAACACCATGTGGGGAATGGAATGGAAAGATAAGTTTATTTTGGTGCAAAACATTTTTGAAATTCATGCATACAAGGTGTCTTTGAAAAGTTCATGGGAAATACGTATAATGAAAAACAATGTCTGGATTCCAGTAATTTTTTTTTTGCATTAAAATGAGCTCATCTGTTTTTAGATTTGTTTATTTGGGAGACAGAGAAAGAGAGGAAGACGGAGAGACAGATCATTCATCTGCTGGCTCACTCCCCAAATGGCCACAATGGCCAGAACTGGGCTGATCCGAAGCCAGGAGCCAGGAGCTTCTTCCAGGTCTCCCACATGGGTGCAGGGCCCAAGAACTTGGTCCATCTTCTACTGCTTTCCCAGGCATAGCAGAGAGCTGAATCGGAAGAGGAGTAGCCAGGACTTGAACCGGCAGCCATATGGGATGCTGGTGCTGCAGGCTGGGGCTTTAATCTGCTGTGCCACAGCACTGGCCCCTCTAGATGACTTTTAATATGCAATACAATGTAAATGCTACATAAGAAGTTGCATTGTTTAGGGAATATTGACAAGAAAAAAATCATGTTCAGAACAGATGCAATTTTTTTTTATTAATTTGAAAGGTAGAGTTATGGGGGGAGCAGGGAGAGAGAGAGAGAGAGAGAGAGAGAGAGAGATCTTCATTCTACTAGTTCATTGCCCCAAATGTCAAAATGACCAAGGCTGGACCAGGCCAAAGCCAGGAGCCAGGAGCTTCTTCTAGGTCTCCTATGTAGGTAGCAGGGACCCAGACACTTGGGCCATCTTCCATTGCTTCCACAGATGTGTTAGCAAGGAGCTGGATTGGAAGTGGAGCAGCTGGGACTCGAACTGGTGCTCATATGGGATGCCGGTGCCACAGGCAGTGACCTTAGCTGTCACACCACAATGCCGGTCCCTAGATGATTTTTATAAACATCTAAAACTAACATGATTGAATTTGTTTAGGCCAATATTTGTCTTCCTCAAATAGTATATTGTTTTTCAACAAATGAAGAACCTTCTGGGATAGCAGAACATTACAATGAGGACTCACCAAGGTCAAGTGTTCTAAGGAATAATTTTAGGGGAGGGTCTGCGTCTGCCAGTTTATAAGGTGTGGAAAGTGTTTAGCACAGAACTTGGCACATGGAAAATGCTCGGTCAATGGTAATCATAATGTGGCCATTCGTATGTAATTTTAGGAATCAGTGAACAGGAGGCACCTGCGGCTTTCTGTGTGTGCTGTGTGCTGCGGTCTGTGTTCATTTTATGGATGAAATGGATGTGTTTGGGAGGCATTTGCGTGTTGAGTGGCATCTGCGTTACAGAGCACTCTGAGCCAGCAGTAGGGTAGAGATGCACGGAGAAGGGCAGTTTAAACACTGCTCGGTATCATTCCTGCAGGGCGTGCTGCAGGGCTTGTTTGGGCCCTGGGTATCCCAGGGAGTAACGGGAAGGGCGTAGTTCTCACATGGGGGTTTGGGGCAGGTTCAGTGACTGTAGGATCTGAGCTTGCCCTGGTCTTTGCCAGGTGGGTTTTGAGGGGTCAGGGTGCGGAGTGGGGTCTGTGTCTCAAAAAGAGAGGGGCGGAGGATGAGAGGTCTCTGGAGAGGGGGAAGGGGGTTCGGGGAGAAGGCGGAGGCCCAGCCGCGGTGTTTTGAGGGCCAAGCTGAAGGGCTGCTGGGCTGTGTATGCCGTCATGGGGTAGCGCAGGCCACATGAAAGCATTGTTTGAGTGTTTCCTGGACGCAGCCGAGGCTTTGGGTTTCCGTGCCTATCATGATTGGAATCCTCTAAGGAAGGTGTTCAGTACGAGAGTGAGACTGAGCAGAAGGACAGGTAAGAAAACAACAGCCAAAGTCTCATTCTTGCCGGCTGGCTGATTTTCTTGGGTGTGTTTACACATTTCTCTGCATGGCCCAGGCAAATTTGATAATCCAGCGTTTGTAAGTAGACACTTATTAGTATCTCATCTAGAAGTTCACCAAAGAAGTAAACCCAACGCCCGCAGCAAAATCTGTCAAATGCTATGTGAGATGTTTGACAAAGTAGGTTAGTGCCTCTAGCAATCCAGCAATGTCAAAAATGCATTTAAGAGAATTGAACATGTCTTTATTATAAAGAAAGTTTGGGAAAATTTAGCTTAGGTCCATTATTACAAAAATATTTAGTATTTTTATATGCTTGTGTTTCTATTTCTCCTTATTTTCTCTAACCTACTTGAGATTATATTGTAAATAGAATTTTGTATCGTGATTTTTATTTTTTAACCTAGGGCATTTCTTACTGTGTGGTTTGCTCAGGACTATATCAGGCAGAGGTATGATTTTTGGATTTAAGCAGTGGTGATTTTTAACACTCAGGGTCAAACCTGGAAGAACCTTCTGCTTAAGAATGCTATTGGGCCGGCGCCGCGGCTCACTAGGCTAATCCTCCGCCTGTGGTGCCAGCACACCGGGTTCTAGTCCTGGTCGGGGCGCCGGATTCTGTCCCGGTTGCCCCTCTTCCAGGCCAGCTCTCTGCTGTGGCCCGGAAGTGCAGTAGAGGATGGCCCAGGTCCTTGGGCCCTGTACCGGCATGGGAGACCAGGAGAAGCACCTGGCTTCTGGCTTCGGATCAGCACGGTGCGCCGGCCACAGCAGCCATTGGAGGGTGAACCAAAGGCAAAATGAAGACCTTTCTCTCTGTCTCTGTCTCTCTCTCACTGTCCACTCTGCCTGTCAAAAAATTAAAAATAAAAGAATGCTATTGAAGATGCCCCACCAAAGGCCCCAGGGCCCCTACTGCTCCCTCACCCCCCCCCATGTACTTCTTTTTATGATTTATTTTATTTATTTAAAAGGCATAGCATATGGGGGGGGGAGGGAGAGGGAGAGGGAGAGAGATCGAGATCATTCACTCACTGGTTCACTCCCCCAGAGGCCATAATGGCTGAGGCTGGGCCAGGCTGAAGCCAGGATCCAGGAATTCCATCCAGGTTTCCCACATGGGTGGCATAGTTTCAAGTACTTGGACCACCTCCTGCCATTTTCCTAGGCACATGAGCAGGGAAATGATTTGGAAGCAGAGCAGCCAGGGCGCAGAATGGCGCTCCAGTGTGGGATGCTGACGTCACAAGTCATGGGTTAACCTGCTGCATCCCTGCTCCCCGACTCATTTTAGCACCCACAGACTTCTTACCGGCTGCACCTTCTTGTCAGTTCTTAACAACTCTTTTTTTTTCTGATGTAAATAGGAAAAAGCCTCAGTGTAGAGAGATTAATTTCAGCTGCTTGGGAACAGTTTTCTTACAAGACAAGAAAATTTTCATTCTTTAGAGAATTTTTGAAAGCAGGAGGCAGGTGCTTGGGCACACGTGGATGTACACACACATGCACACAACACACTCATACTGCTCACTGCAGTTGTTCAACTAAAACAAGTGCCGAAGGTCCCAGCCCCAGCAAGTGAGTATGAAGCTCCTGTTCCCTGCTGGCTGTCTTCTACCCAAACCCCAGAGGGCTGCGCCTGGGTCAGGAAGTTCCCAGTGCTGAAATGCAGGAGCAGGCAAGACCGAAACCTGAATTTCTACAACTTAGTGCAATTTTGAAATCAAATCTTGCCTGGCAAGATTTCCGACTGTGTTGGAAAAATAAGTTTACTCTGAAAAGCCCGTGTAAAGCACTCTTAAAGAGCATTAAGGCCGGTTCCCCGTGATCCCGAGGCCCTGTCTAATCTCTGGAATTTAAGACTTGAGATCCCAGGAGCTGGTTGGAGCCCTGGGAATGGTTTATTGAGTTATAAAGTCTAAATGAAGTTTTGTCTACACAAAAATCAGGACAGTAGCTGAAGTCTGGAAGGAAAAATTATATTGTCCCTGTGGATCAGAATTTGCATCTAAACTTCGCCTTTACAATGTAGAAGATGCAGCCACGGAAGCCATGTTCATGAATGACGTGGCTTGTGAGATGAGTGAGGTTCCTTACAGGGCAGGTGCTTGGGGCACATTTGGTCTTGGCCATGGAGGCTCAGGATAATCCTTTCTTGGGTCAGAATGGGGGAGAGGGTGAGGGGGTGCCGTGCACCTGAGGTGGCGCCCAGAAAACACGGGAGTAGGCATTGGACCTGCAGTTTCCTTCTCCAGTTGTGTCTGTCTTGTCTTTCTTTTTGTCTTTTTTTTCCTTCTGTCTCTCTCTCCTTCTCTCCTTCTCTCCTTCCCTCCCTCCCTTCCAGATTTATTTTATTTATTTTTTGGAAAGGCAGAGTGACAGAGCACGAGAGACAGCCAGAGATGACCCATATGCTGGTTCACTCCCCAAATGACTACAGCTGCTGGGTCTGGGCCAGGCAAAAGCCAGGAGCCAGGAGCTTCCTTTGGGCCTCCCACGTGGGTGCAGGGGCCCAAGCGCTTGGGTGGTCTTCCCCTGCTTTCCCAGGTGGGAGCTGGATCAGGAGTGGAGCAGCGGGGACTCCAGCCTGTGCTCATAGAGCAGTGTAACCCTTCATGCTTCAATAACAACCCCATGTGTGTGTATTTTCTTTTTTAAAAAATCATAAAGTAAGGTTTGCAAGGCGATTCCCATGCAGTACCATTTT